TTTTGCGCTTCTTGCGCTGACATTATTTAATCTATTTCTTCCTTTATAGGTTGATTGGAAGTGATCGCTCAAAAGCGATAGGATTGGTTTCCTTATATTTTTATTATTATATTTTGAACTGATTTTTTCAACAAACGTTCAATAATATAATCACCTACATAGGTTTTCCTGCTTCAGATGTTTTTTGTTGTTAGTTTCTTATTTCCAACTAATTTAAAAAATAACAAGAAATTTGCCTATTGTGAAGTATTTATTTGTTTCAACAGGTTTTCTGACTGATTTTTTGTCCATACTTCGTCATAAGAGATTGATATTATACTTCCGCACAACGTTTTTATCGTATTACGAAAAAACTTTAAAGTTACTAAACGCACGTTACGCGTTTTTTCGAATAGCGGACTTCACTATTGAAGTAACAATTGTAAATCTCGTTATTGAATTAAATTATGAATTCACTTCACAAGAGGGATGAAATCAAAATGTCATTTATTCATTTAGGTAACACAATGTACACTTATGACCGTGCTTCGAATGAAAAGGCTTCTAATAGATTACTACTACTATAACTTCTTTATATTTACTGTCAGTCACTGATCTAGAGCGACCAACAAGCGAGGATTAATGAAATGAATCTGGCAATTAACTCTCCTTTACGCATCTCACATCCGTGCTTGAAGTGTGTTCGTGTCAAAATTCGTATCACTTTGCCCTACCAATTAAAAATACGCTCTAATGTCTTATTAAACTTTTTTAGATGATGCAGCAATCAACTGTGACGTCAACTCTTCTCCAACCGAATGTGTGAGGTACTGTCCCCCTCAAGCCTGCAACTATACGTCTAATGGTCGTCCCTGTATTCCAGGACCATGCAGGCGTGGCTGTAACTGCCATGAAGGGTACTGTAAGACATCCAATGACGAATGTGTGCCTATAAACTAATGTCATAATAAAGATTATGAATAATTGGTTTTTATTATAGTGCATATAACTGTAGATTTTATTTGAGACATGGCGGTATCCTCACTATGTTTGCCTTCACCGGACGAGCGACTGTTCAAAGCCAGGGATCGAACCTACGACCTTCAGGAATAAGATCCACACCCTAAAGCTACTAGGCCAACACTGTTTTGAACAGTCCAAGTATCATCAAAATCAATTCTAAAAGTTAATGTTAGTTACTTTATCATTTTATTTACCATTTTTACGACGTAGTTTTCATTTAAAAAGAATGGTAAACATGGCAAAAATGCAAATTAATACAATTATAAGGCTGGTCACTTAATTAAAAATGATTCAGGCAATTAAAAACGAAACTAGCGAAAGAGACGGTCTGACTAATAATGCAGTTAAGACGAAGGTGATGGTCATTTCTCCTAATTTATCTGTAGCTGGTAGAACGTTGGAACAGGTTCGGCAATACAAGTATTTGGGAACTAGGGTTACAAACGAGTGGAATCCTGATCAGGAAATTAGGCCTCGAATCGAAATTGCCCGAGGATCTTTCAACAAAATGAAGAAAGTTTTGTGCTGCCGTCACTTGACCATTAAACTCCGAGTCCGACTTCTCCTTTGTTACATATGGCCAATTGTTCTGTACGGCTGTGAAGCTTGGACAATTAAAGAAGATACCGTGCTTTTGATTTCGTACTTATAACGTGGAATGCCTTCCGAGCAACCAGTAAAATTAGTAAATTCGTTACAGTAGTAAAGAACATCTAACTCTTCGCGCTTCTTTGACCATTGACCTTCCAGCGGTGTTAGTATCAAGTGTCATAACTAGGTAGGTACTTAGCTAAATTATGGAATGGCACTGTGATGTTATCGTATATTGATAATAATTTTAATTTTTTTTTGGTAATATTAATTATTGTTAATTAAATTCATATTTTATTTTGCGAAAAAAATAATATTAGCCACTATACAGATAAAAGGAAAATAACGATACAATAAACTTGTGCCCCATTACATTACGACACTTCAAACAAAATTAACGTGTTATCGTTCAAAATCAACGATAAAATTGTTCCACTATGATCTCTTTCATATATTTTAATTGTAACTCAAAGCATATAATTTAAATGCATATCAGCGGTCAATTATACTGAAATTGAAATCTCTCAAAAGAACAAATTGAATCCCATTTAACTGGATTAATTCGAGATAATCTTTTTATATGAAAATTTAAGTATTCGTTTATTTTGTGTCTAGCCTTAGCTTATAAATATTTGAATAAAATGATAATTCAAGGACCTCTACTGAAAATATGACAAGCAATTTTGGGAATTCAGTCAACAGTAAGATATTTATACTAGAGACCTTGGGACTCCTGTATGTCAAAAACGTGTTGGTTTTGACACACGATTCTGAATCTCAGACACACAGATTTTAATAAGTCATGCATTTTACTATGTTATGTCCAAATAGAAGTTTCCAAACTGTTAAATACAGGAGAAAGGTTTAGAAACCTGTAATTAAAGTTTTTCGAACATCTAAAGATGGACTTATTTGGTGGGCTGAAAAGTTCGTAGGCTAATATAGAAAAAATCTTTTTTTATAGAATTTGATTTGATTATTCAATATCTTCGAGAGCGATACAACGATTATACCAGTCATTTATTCAATACCATTTTTATAGTACGATTCGTCTTTAGCGACCAAATAGGCTACAGTTTTGACGATTACCTTTTGATGAGTGAAACTGAATTTTTTTGTTTAATTTTTTCAGAATAATAAATTTTTTAGATGGGAAACTATTTCTATTAGTAGGATAAATACAAGTATTGGTAAAATCGACTGTTACAAGTATTTCGCTTTAAAAATGGTAACAGATTTTATATATTAAATTGTACACAATAATAAATTACCACAATATGTACAGTGCGTGTTATGCGTCGATTTATATAGCGAGTACATAGCGAGATGCTTGAGAAATATCTTTTCTAAAATTGAATTGTCTTTAGAAAATATTTGTTTTTAATGTTCCCAAACAAACAGAAAAGCGATTTAAAAGCTAACGTCTAGACGAGTAAATAGGATAAGAGGATTTCGCAGAAAATCCGATGGAGGTTGAAAGAAAACTAAGGAAAATTGGACAAAGCCGAAGTAAGGCGCTAAAGCATACCTTGCTTATAACTTTAGAGGATTTACTTTTGGGAAACATTTTACGCTCGAAATATTTTGTAAGAGATCACTTAATTTTTTATCACATTATTTATAAGTATTTTATAACGCCTTTTAAAGATTTAAAAGAAATACTGTCACGGATTGCATAATGGCTTGCACGACATCTACAATCAATACGATGACAGCATATACTGGAGTGCTCCTTCGAGGCGTTTTCAAGTACATGTACAAGATCTCAACATCAGCCTCTGGGACCATCTAGTTAATGGTTATACTTGTCAAGAACACCTTTCATACACCACAGCAACTTGATTGTATGTAATAATAAAATATCGCATGGTATTACATTTTTGAAGTAGTTTGCGCTAAGTTTCCATACTGAACTTACCCTAATGCTCAGATTCCAAATCCAATACGTTTTTTAACAGACGGCCTGTCTGTCACTAGTGAATAATCTCACATTGAATTGAACTAATTTGTATTGGTAAAAAAGTAATTTAGATTATTTTGGGCAGTCTTCGTCGAAAGTTCACGTCGAACCAAACAACTTAAGCCGCATTATTCAGCTTTTGATTTTAAGACATTCTTCACGTCCATATCAGCATCAGCACGATATCTTTCCTTGTCATTATGCTTAAATCGTCACGTGGATGCTGTGAAGTTTAGCATATGTAACTAGCAACCTTCATTAGTCTTCAATAAAAAGAGAACTAGATTCTATAAGACTTTCTAAAAAAATCAAAATATATTGATGTATATATGCAAAATATATAAATATATAATGTAAAATATATAAGATACGTAAAATTAAAACAGTAAAATGCGTAAACATGAACTTTACGCCTATATCAACTGTGTTATTAAAAATATGCATTATTATTTTGAACTACTGAATTGCAACGATAATTAAAAATAATCTGATGTCTTGCTGTGTTATTTATAAAACAGGGTACAAACGGGCTCAACTGATGTTAAGTGATACCTGTGGCCTATTGACACTTACCCTGCTAGAAGGGTCGCAACGACAGCTTTTTATAAATCGGTACACTCTTGAAGGACTCCAAGTTGCTAAGCCATCTGAAGTCACAGCAGATTATCGCAAAAAATACTTATTCAAATAAATATAAATTTATCTATTTTTTGTTACCGTTCCATGAGTCATAGCAAGTTAATAAGTGTTTAGGCGTTCCATTGAATGGAGAATAAGTTCTGATTGTCGTGAAAAAGCCAATGTTAATGAAACGAACTAATTAGCTTCAATAGTTACGTTGGCAAGAAGCACTAATGAGAAGGTCACGGTATTGTAACTAGCGATTCCCGCGACTTGGGCAAAAGCGTAAATTTTAATTTATACAAAATTTAACAAAGTTTTGACTTTTACTACGTGAAACGTGGTACGTTAAAGCTTCATAGAATATATGGTTACGGGATACTTCCTGCGACGTTTTCTGGTGCATTGGCAATGCTGCGGCCCTTGACTACCTCATCAGTTTCTGGGCTGTTTGCGGCTGTATTTATTGCTATTGCAAGAAGGACAGTTTTGTGAGGCTGGAACTGATTTGGACAATAATCCTTTATTTCTCTCTTTTGATTATTACTCTTACTGGGGAAAGCTATCCAGTTTATTCAATATCCTGGTCTGAACTAGAAATATGTAAAATTTAGGTTGTCTATTGGAAGTCATGTACATAACCTTATTGCATTCAAGAATTGTCGTAGGTATCCGAGTATGCCGGTAATTCGTTTTAAATAGAAAAATATAATTAACGTGATGAAACAAGAACTTTTAGTTAATTTAATGTTCTGTTCTATTTCGACTGGCGTGTGCATAATTTTTAAAAAGTTTTATTATTCGTTATTCAACATATTCGATAAAAATGGTAAGAGACGATTCACATTTGGCTACAAAGGTTACACGTTCTTTGCAATTGAATGAGACAACCTTAGAGATGACCTTTATGTGTCAAGGTAGGGCACTAAATAGAGGAAAATACACAATTATTATTAGTAAGTATTCATTAGAATTTTCATCTGTACATTCAAACCCTGGACAGAAATTAATAAACTTCATTTCGATTACTAAGAAATATTAGTCTTAAGTTTGTAGTTTTATCAGAAACTATATATTTTAGTTGATTAATATTGATCTATATTGACCTAACTGTGTTGTCAACATAACGAAGAGGGTAAACCCTGCAGCGACCTCAAAAGCCACAACAGTTTTCCGCATTGAAATCATTATTTTTGAAGAAAATTTCAAGGCACGCGGACTCATCTGTGTTGAGTGTACTAAGCTAGTCACTAATAAAGTAGTTATTTATTTTTTATAAACGTGAGTTAATGAAAATTAACGAGAAGAAACTAGCCGTTTTAATAAAGTACACTAAAAAAATGTATATACAAACATTAAAAAATAATATTTTATACTTTATTAAGAAAAATTTGTACGCCATTATGTGTGGCAGGATATGCCACCATAACATTTTTATACCATATTCTTGCACAATTTATTATAATTCTTATTACAAAAATTCAGTGAAACCCTATATGAGTCTTAGCCTCAGATTGCATCTGTTCCTTTAATCATTTTTTTCATAGACGAAGTAGGTGATTAGCCCAGTTTGGATTTGTGAGATATTTGTTTCCTTACTATGTTATCCTTCACTGTACGAGTGTTAGATGCGCACATAGACAGAAACTCTACTGGTGCACAGCTGGGAACCGAGCTTAAGATCTCTAGGATGAGAGTAGCACGTTTAAGCCACTGGGCCAACACTGCTGTTTATATTACTATTATAATTTAGAGATAAGCTATAATGTCTTTACTCTTTACGTGATCATGTGATATAAAACGCCACAAGAATAAATTAATTATCTCATTGTGACAACGAAACTAACATAAATTTTGTTTGCATCGCCATTTTTTATATTAATAGGCTTCTAGAATAATCTTAGAGGAAAATTGCGAACCTTGGCCAATGCAAATTTTAAGGCGTGATTCAAATGCATTGGTTTACTTCTAGTTAACACTGAGATTTCAATGTTGTGTGTTGTGCTGTGATATAATTATGTTAGAGAAATTAATTGTTGTTTTTATATTTTGTTGGATTTACAGCGTAAATAGCGGAGGTAAGTCTTATGTGATTTGTTTGTAATAATCAAAGGAAAGTTTTCCAAAATACGCCTTAACAGATTAAGTCGCGTTACGTAAATTTTAAGAGCACTGTTGGCTTAGTGGCTTCAGCGTGCGACTGTCATCCCTGAGGTCATAGGTTCGATCCCCGGTTGTATACCAATGGACTTTCTTTCTATATGCGCATTTAACATTCATTTGAACGGTGAAGGAAAACATCGTGAGGAATTGCCCATGTCTTAGACCCAAAAAGTCGAAGGCGTGGGTCGCCTAGGCTCACCTACTTGCCTATTAGATTGAAAATTGATCTTGAAACAGATTCAGAAATCTGAGGCCCAGACCTAAAGAGGTTGTAGCTATTTGGTTGTAGCTGTTGTAGAAATTGTATACCTGATTTAAATTTAAAATATGGGATAAATTGATTACGATTTTGTGTGTGTATTATTTCATTTATTCATTAAATTCCAAAGTGTACATTTTTAAAGAGGTAAAAAAGCTTATAAATTTAATAACTACACTAAATGGCATAACCTAAAGTCAAGCACAAATTTAAAACACAATAAATAGGGCTTGTAGGTAGTAACAATATTACTATCCCAAAATGTTAAAAAGAGATTTGAAGGTTTTTAGAAATGTTAATGTGATAAATAGTTTTTACTTTTCGATAAACTAGGTAAGTGAATCGAGTAACTTATACAAAGTACATATCTATATTTATTGGCAGCCTTGTTTTCAGTGTCTTACTACATTTTCTACCGTTATTAACTCCTAATAGTAGACATTTCTAGTTTCGTAACTAATTAGTGATTTACTATATGTATTAAGCTCATTACAATTGTTATTGCTCATACAATGCGGAGGGTATATCTGGTATAAAAAATACTACAATACTTCTCTTAACAATGTACGAATGGATGAAGTTTCTTACATGTCTTAACAGAGTAGTTTAACTTAGTTTCAAAGCGTTTGTAAGCCTCAGTCTTGCCTGGCTAGTCGTGGGGCACAAGCAAAGTTTAGCAGATTATTTCTACACAAAGGTAATGTGTGAATAGCGTATTTACGGCTTACAGAACAATTGTGCATTCTACTTGAGATTTTAAGGCTGAACTGCCTGATTTAAAATGCAGCAGCATTGCGCGAATTAGTGGAGTTTTATAACCTGTGTTTTTGATCGTCTTTTGTTTATGCGTGTTACATATTTCGATTAAACTGTAAAGGATACAGGGATACAATTGTATTGTTGTAGAAAAATTATGATTCTGACGAATTCTAGATATAATCTTTGTTAAGCAAACTTCTGTTTCAGATATTGAGAATTTGTACGATTGTAAAGCTGAGATTGTTTTATTCTTGTGATTAATATGTGGTATTTAATTATGACAAAGACAACGCATAATGCTTCAGTGCAACTGTTACTGTACGGATAGTAAATCGTTGATTTAACACAATTTTATTGTTAAATAAAACGATTCAGATGCGACATTTCGCGATATCCGTAGCGCTGATACCGCAACCGTGGGAACGCGCCGTACAAAAACGTTGAAGATGGTAATCACTATCGCTATTGATCACAAAGTGCGGATTGTAGTCCACGGATAGCACACAATAAAACGATTAATTAATTACTCAACGCTATAAATAAGAGAACATACTCAGAGGTATCATTACTTTGATTGACATTTATGGCATTATTATGTGTACAACACAGATAAATTATTTCAGTTTTTAAACGGTCTACTTGCGAAGAGAACGAAATATACGCAGAATGTCACCTCTGTGGTCCAGAAAGATGCTCCCAACTTGGGTTCCCAGCGCCATGTGGTGGTACCGCATGCAAGCCACGGTGTGTATGTATAGACGGATTTGTTCGAGATGATGATGGAAAATGTATTCCAAAGATGGAGTGCCGTAAGTTTATTAATAAAGAAGAAAGATTTGTATGTTTGTAAGAAAAATTGCATAACTACTGGACTGATTTGAATGCTGCATTATCCCTGAGTAACAATTATTTACTCAGGGACATAACAAAAAATAAAGCGCAGCCATGCGAAGCCTCACTATATAGATAACGAAAATGATTTATGGTAGTTTTTACAAAGTTATGTATCGCTGATCGATATTAACGAGTCATAAGATTTAGGATTTCTTCTATGTTAACTTTTTAATATTAAAGACGAAAGTATACATGAAATTTTGACAGCTTCACTGCTAATATTGGAAATGAAATGTTTTAACCCTACCTGTTTTACCTAGATAATGTAGCTAACAACACATCAAATATTTCTATGAAAAATGCGTGAAAACATAATTTATGATACGCGACTCAGCCGTAGAAATAACTAATGTAAAATAACAATTAAAAGAGTTGTCTATTTGACAACTATGAGTAATAATGCTGGCTTCGTAGCTTTTCTTACTAAATATCTAACTTTTATAGCCAAACAAAGGCGTATCCTAAGTCCCTACTTAACTGAAACTCATCATTCTTTTGTCACGAGTGTATTTGAGCGTCTTTTGTTTTAATAGTTTATTTTATATGTAATTGCCTCAAATGAGCCCATGGCGAGTTGGCTAGGAGTTGCTATGCTTTGAACAGTATTATCGTACGCTCTTTATTGAAGAAAACATAAAAACTTTTACACGCTTTGAGCTATACCAATTAAGTACAAAGAAATTTCAACTAAAGAAAAGCTGGAAAAAAAAGTTTGTTGGCACTTTGAACTCTCTAGTTATTTCGTGCGCTATTCTAGCACAAACGACGGAGTATAAAAGAATTTTAGCGGAAAAGTTGGTTCCCCATACGATGTTGAACACTTGTTTTCATTTCATTCCAGCTAGTGAAGTGAAAATTTCACATTACTGGTAACTGTTTTACTCTGCATTCTTTGTATAAGATTAATAAACTAAGTTTGCTCGGTTACTCACCTATTTCCCATACAAATATCAATTAAAAGACACATGTTTGTGACATGTCCCATTTGATTTAATTATGACAAGATAATATGAATTCAAGACTTTCGATCTACAACAAGAATTGCAACGCATTCATTGGTAAAATTATTGTTTTTAATATTTCAGCGTCATGTGGTGGAGACAAAAACGCGATTACCGGTTGCAGCAACCACTGTGGTAACACATGCTCCGACTTCCGGGAGGTAAATAAAACCTGCCTTTCCGGATGCCACTATAACGGCTGCAATTGCAAGCCTGGATTTGTTTTTCATGAAAAGTTGAACCACTGTGTTTTACCAAATAATTGTTGTGAGTTTATTATTATTGTTTATAAGGTTTACTAGATGTAGTATTAAATAATGATAGTTTTACAATATTTGTGTATGTACAACGTGTGTGCTAAGATGATTTATTCTGAAGTCTGTTGATCGAAATTGACAGCTGTCATTCGTGAGTCAAAGACAACTTAATCTAAGTGCAAGAAGTATAAATCCGTGTAAAAATTAATGAAGGAATATGTGATGCAAATAACTATATAAAGAAAATACTTAAAAATTGCTGCCTTTTAAAAAGAAAGTAACAATTAAAAAAAAAAATATAATTACAACGTACATAAAAATTAATTCTTCCTTAAGTATATATAGTCTAGTAAAATAGATGCTTCTAAATTTTAAAAAGCCTTGTATGACGAAACAAATGTGTTAACTATAACCATTTGAAGTAGACTTCAAATTAAATTCATTCACACACATATTCACAACCACACATGCTTCAGTTGTTTGTTACTTTAGTATATATACAGTCTTCTGTGCGGAGTTTTTCTTTGGAAGCTACCTTTTCAGTGGAAGGCTGGCAACCTCTTAGTCCTGATAGTCCTATTATAGGTATCTCACTAAGAAAGTCAATGCCTGTATTGTGTAAACTTGTAAAATGCAAAATTGTGATGAGGAAAATAAACTTCATTATTATTAATTAAAACGAACTTTTAACTATTAAATAATTTAGTAGATAGTTGAAATAACTCAATATAATTTTGTGGAATTAGTTATTAGGTATTTCGTATTATTTTAACATTTTAATGATAATTTGTTCGAAGAAAAGAGGCCAATTATATTACCATAATATTTTTTTCAGGATTGGCACGAGGTGATGCGGTTGAAGAAATTTTCCGAATTTTCTTATATATTTCTAAAGAAAATGGGGTAAAATTTAATTACAGATGTCACCAATTTTATTTTATATAACAATAAACATTTGTAACAAATCTTATTTTCATACAATAAAATTCCCTTTAATTAGGAATCTTTATTCTATTTAGAGCCGCGCTAGGTTTTACTCCTGTGTGTCAAATCCAATACGTTTTTGACATACGGGATTCATACAGCTTTCTACTGTTTACCTGTATATTCTGTGTTAGTTTGTTATTTCTATGTTCTAATATAACTGATGTGTATGTGTGTAAGTTTTCTGTTTTGAGAACATAATTAAATAAGTACTTAGTTATCCCCCTCTCTCTTATTCATAAAATTACAATTAGTCTTTACACTGTTTTAACTATATAGTGCTCATCTGTATCTTCCTATCAAATTCTACTATCGCTGTGATAGAAAGAGACAGTCTTACAACAGGTTTATAACTTTAACCTATCAAGTGTTATAATATATAAAATACATACAGTTATAAAATTTAATACCATTACCACCTCGAGAGAAAGAAGATTATTTTTTACAATATTTGAACACTAAAATATATCATCAATCATATCTTTGTATAAAGCCTTTTAAAATAGATAGTTAGATATTAGTATTCATTAACAATATTTCTTATTTCTTTTGTTTGGTCTTGTATTATCAAACGATAATTAATTTATTTATATATATATAGGTACAGGTTGTAAAGAACAGATGAGGTTTTTTTGATGTCTAAAATCTACGGAGTTCAAGATACATGCAATTTTGTTTTTTTTAAAAAAATAAAACGATTTTTACCTCGAAGGACTTTCACTAAAAACCTATGATATATAATTAATGCTTTGCGATATTACATTTAATATAAAAACAAAGGGTAAGCTTAGGTAACCTAGTTTCTGCTTGTTTAGCGAATTTCAGACCAAGTCAAGTAACGAGTAACGAACCCTTGTAAATAGAAGTTAAACAAGTTTCTCGGACCAATAAGGCTATAAATTAAAGAAAAAAAGTTTTTCACTAACTCCCTCGAACAGTTAACACCGATTCTAGGGAAAATATTTTTTAATGCATCGTTATTCTGGAAATGGGTTCTGTATATTTCTTTTCCCTTTTAAAATTCAAAGTACCACTGTTTATGCAATGATTATTCAAATAAATACAATACAAGATCGATAAGATAATATCGTAGAAACTTAATATTTCGAAGAATTCTAATGCTATTGACTTATCCCGCCATTTTAAAAATGAAACAAATTCTAAATTTAAATTTGGCAGTTCATCAATCTTCTTAAATTGTGATAGATACAATCTCACAGACTACTTAGGAAAATCTGATCATAACCTTATAGATACACTTAATAAACAAAATTAAACCTTAATAAATATATATTGTAATTAATTTATTGAGGACCCTAAAAACTCAGCCGAAAGTTGTCGAGATTGATCTATGGTTACTTTCCTATCAGTACAGATTCGTAATTTATAGGAATCGAATGCGGTGCCCGAGATAGATTTTATCTAAATTAATTTGCCATTTACGTAATTGGATTAGAATATGCGAATGACATGCTTATTAATATAAATAAATCTTCTATATAATACATAGTAATAATAATAACCCAGTGGCGCAACAACCCTATATGGGTTTAGACCAGAGTTTAGTTTTGTTCTTTGATCTTTTTTTTTTTAATAATTTTATGGCCTGGTTGTTCTTTGATCGTTTTCATGTCATAGACAAGTATATGTTCCGCCTTCTAACTGATACATGTTGTCGATTTTTGGATTTGAGACGTTTGTCACGATGTTATCCTTCACCGTACGACCGAGTGAAAGTCCATTTTTGCATAGCGGGGGATTGAACTTACGACCTCAGGGAAGAGAGTCGCACTTCTGAAGCCACTAAATTAATATAGCACATAGGCGATATAAGTCACATATTGTGTTTGTGAAGCACTTTTCATCATTTATTTATTTCTGAATTGATGAACTTCATACGACAAAATAACATAGTTTTTTTTAAAGTCTTCCTTTAATAATTTCTTTTTTTATATTATTGGGCCATACACAATATACAAGTACACAGTGCTAAAACCAGAACCCTTACTCTGTAACTTACAACAGTGATAGCAATACCGATCCAAATGTTTTTGTATGCAAGTTCGATGTAGTTCTCTCAATATCCGTAGCGCTGATGTCGCAACCTTGGGACCCTGGTCAGTCGACTGTATCTGGTACCCCATAGCTGACTGGAAGAAACAAGGAAATGCCATCTGCAGTAATCCCTTACCCCATTAAATTACTTACCGTAGCTATAACAGACGTAATAAGTCAAAATAAAACCTCATCTTTGAAATGATTCCTAAGATTGAAAATAATAATTTTATTGCCCATTCAAATACACTTGGAACTTTCTAACAAAAGATTGCTTCGAAATCAAATTCCAAATGTAAACAAAGGTTATTAAAATGTCAATTTGACGCTTAAACAACCTTCGGGAGAATGTTTCCTATTCTAATAAAAACTTCTGTTTTATTAAAAGAATGAATATCATAAGAACGGAATTGTTTAAGAAGTTGAAAGTATGCTTTTTGTTAGAAGTAGTTTTTGTCTGTATTGTCTTCGGGTACTAGAGATTATATACGGAGAAGTAATAAGATTAAAAAAATACATTTAGCCTGTCGGCGCCGCCCTCTTGTTAAAACATAATATGTATGTAATTGAACTATAAGTGCCCAGGCCCCCCCCCGGGGGGGGCGGGGGGGGGGGGGGGGAGGAAGGAAAAAAAAAAAGGAGGGGGGGGAAGGGGGGGGGGGGGGATTTTTTTTTTTATGTTTTTGTTTTTTTTTTTTTTTTTGTAAGACTAGAAATAACCTTCTAAAAAGGGCACATATTATTCGCTGTATTACGTTAGTTAACGAATTACAATGGACCTTTTTTATTGTCCGTTGAGTGAACTGACAAAAGTTCTACTATTTGTTAGTGTCTATAATAATTGGTTATATTTTTTTACATTTTTCCTATTTAATTTACGAGTAATTTGTTAGTTTTATTTTGTGTGTGATTGTTTTATTTGGTTTGACCTGTTAAGACAAGATTGTGTTTCTTGTAAATCAATAAATAAATATACATCTTTAAATATAGTACATTCTTCTTTTAACAGATTAAAATTGTGAATTGGTGACCACGTAAATATTCACGGATTTACTTATAAACACCGCTGACCAAATGTTGAAGCACGCGAACACAGCTTACGATGTCTTTATAAAAAAAACTAGGGGGGGGGGGGGGGGGGGGGGGGGGGGGGGGGGGGGGGGGGGGGGGGGGGGGGGGGGGGGGGGGGGGGGGGGGGGGGGGGGGGGGGGGGGGGGGGGGGGGGGGGGGGGGGGGGGGGGGGGGGGGGGGGGGGGGGGGGGGGGGGGGGGGGGGGGGGGGGGGGGGGGGGGGGGGGGGGGGGGGGGGGGGGGGGGGGGGGGGGGGGGGGGGGGGGGGGGGGGGGGGGGGGGGGGGGGGGGGGGGGGGGGGGGGGGGGGGGGGGGGGGGGGGGGGGGGGGGGGGGGGGGGGGGGGGGGGGGGGGGGGGGGGGGGGGGGGGGGGGGGGGGGGGGGGGGGGGGGGGGGGGGGGGGGGGGGGGGGGGGGGGGGGGGGGGGGGGGGGGGGGGGGCCGGGGGGGGGGGGGGGGGGGGGGGGGGGGGGGGGGGGGGGGGGGGGGGGGGGGGGGGGGGGGGGGGGGGGGGGGGGGGGGGGGGGGGGGGGGGGGGGGGGGGGGGGGGGGGGGGGGGGGGGGGGGGGGGGGGGGGGGGGGGGGGGGGGGGGGGGGGGGGGGGGGGGGGGGGGGGGGGGGGGGGGGGGGGGGGGGGGGGGGGGGGGGGGGGGGGGGGGGGGGGGGGGGGGGGGGGGGGGGGGGGGGGGGGGGGGGGGGGGGGGGGGGGGGGGGGGGGGGGGGGGGGGGGGGGGGGGGGGGGGGGGGGGGGGGGGGGGGGGGGGGGGGGGGGGGGGGGGGGGGGGGGGGGGGGGGGGGGGGGGGGGGGGGGGGGGGGGGGGGGGGGGGGGGGGGGGGGGGGGGGGGGGGGGGGGGGGGGGGGGGGGGGGGGGGGGGGGGGGGGGGGGGGGGGGGGGGGGGGGGGGGGGGGGGGGGGGGGGGGGGGGGGGGGGGGGGG